AAATGGACCTCTTGGGGTTTTTTTTTTTTTTTTGTGTGTGTGAAATTAATTAATGGTGAGAATTGAGGTTATGTCTTAATTAAAGTGGATTAATTAATTGTGAGTGCAGAATGCGGCGGAGAAGCCTCCGTTCTTTCTGCCGAGCTGGACCGGAATGTACGCCATTAACATCTTCATAGTGGGCTGGGTTTTGGTGGTCGGGTTCGGGTTCGGGGGATGGGCCAGCGTCACCAATTTCATCAGACAAGTAAATACGTTCGGGCTTTTCGCCAAGTGCTACCAATGCAAGCCACCCAAACCGGTGGCGCTTCCGCCGCATGCGCCGCCTAACGCCACCGCCCACCACTGAGATCACTCACACAAACTATATTTTGTATTATATATTGCTTCCCCCTACACGTGATGTTTGCTTAATTTTCTCCCACTTTTTTTTTTTTTGTTTGAATATTTTGTTTTTTTTTTTTGTATTATTATTATTATTAATATTAGATAAGATAGTGTGTTGATCTGCGATGATTCCCTTGGTACCAAATCATAGGCTAATGAAATGAATATCATAGTTTGCATCACAGCAATGACATTATTACTTGTCATGTTTCCAATGAATAGTAGTATATTATTTTATTTAATTCTTTTTTAAAAAAAATAATAAATATACAATATATAATTATGAGCATATAACCATTAACGTGCAATCCAATTATCAGCTTAGGTTTTTAGTTGAGATGGAACACATGCTTCAATTTGGTATCAGAGTCAGACCATAAGCGACTACGGTTCACGTGTTGCTTGCATGTTTCAATTTTTACAACCTACGCAATTGATAGTCAGCCAGATGTTAAAAAAATAAAAAAAAATAAAAAATGTTGAGAAAAATTTAAAGAATCACAATGAAAAAGTGTGTTAATTGCTTTGAGTAAATTTTTTTTTTTTTAAATCCTTTACATGTTAAATATGTTTCAATGAGTCATGCACATAAGCACATTAAGTTTATTACACCAAATCACCTAGAAATTTAACTCCAAATTATATTACTGACAAGAATCAAATATGACTATCAAATACATTATTAAAAGAGTTAATACCCAAAATGGTCCCTCGACTATGCCATAATTACCAATTTGGTCCTCAACTACCAATCTTACCCAATTAAGTCCTCAACTATGTAATTTTTACTCAATTAAGTCCTCAACTATACAATTCTTACCCAATTTAGTCCTCAACTATACAATTCTTATCCAATTTAGTCCCATGCATTAATTTGACTGTTTGTTGACTGTCAAAAGTTGGGATAAAATTATAATTTTACAAGATTTCTCCTTCATCTCCATTTAGCAGCGCCAAACCATGCAGCAATACACTCCGATCAGATTTCGATCGTCAAAAATTCGTTGGAAATCAAATTCATGGGCTATCCGATGCGTAACCACTACTTCGATACTGACAGGTCTAGAACCCAACAGGAGCTTATTGCTACATGGTTTGGCGCTGCTAAATGAGGAAGAAGGAGAAAACTTGTAAAATTACAACTTTATTTCCACTTTTGACAGTCAATAAACAGTCAAATTGACAAAGGACTAAATTAGATAAAAATTGTATAGTTGAGGACTTAATTGGGTAAGAATAATAGTCGAGGACCAAATTGGTAATTACGACATAGTCGATGGACTATTTTGAGTATTAACTCTTATTAAAACTTATCTCACTCCAACTATTGTAACAATTTGGGGCAGATTTAAAGTGAATGAGTGCAAAACGGGCCGGATTATTGAAAGATGTATGAAGACATTTGGTAACCAGCTTTTTTGACCCAGGTAGATTCTCTTCAAAGGTGGGCCGTGGAGCCAAGTATCTCACATGCTCGCACGTTTGTTTGCTATGTCGTCACGTGCTATTATTTCCACTGCCAAACTCACAAATTTTTGTTTTTGATAATGTCATTTTTAAAGTGGGGAGTTAACGATACAATTTCCCAAGCAAATATTAAAAGCACATTGTAAAGCAATAAACTGATCTTCTGTACTGTACTATTATATTTCTTCTCAGAACCCCAAACCAAAGGCTCATATCCTGAAAATCTAATCTGTAGAGGAGGTAAATTGTGAAATGTGTCTCAAGTCTCAACTGACTGACAAAAAATCATCAAATGCTTTTACAGTAGTGCTCCTAAGTCCACAACAAAATCAAATTTGTACCTTTTTTTTTTTGTGGTCTTTGGTAAGTGCAAAACAAAACTTATGAACTTATTTTGAGTTAATTAATCAGTTGTTATGGTTCGAGACTTAATATTATATTAATTAATAAAAAAACAGGGAATTTAGCAGAAGTGAGTAGGGTATGGTAACATGGATGTGGGAAAAAGAGGAGCTTCAAAATTCAGTTTGGCATATGCTTCTGCCAGCATGGATTGTTCGTTAAGGGAACGTACCATGCCCACTCAGATCTTATTATGGGCTTTAATTAATTAATTAATCAATCAATCAAATCTAATCTTAGACCTAAAGGTTAGATATTTAGCAAACCTTTTGCTTTGCGTTTTGACTAATTTTCTTAATTGATGACCATTTCAGTCCGCAAACGCCAAGCTTCCCACTTTATCCTTGCCCTACAATCTCTTGGCTTAATGATCACAAAAGAGGTAATGACTTGGGTGTCCTCCCATCCTTCTTCCAAAGTCTGAACCTCAACCCTAAGGGCCCCCACAAGTGTTCTCCAATCTTTATACAATGGATGATGGTTCATACTGGACCTCGTCATTTCGATCTAGGATCCATAATGTTATTTGGATCTTGGTCTATGATATAAATTGTGTCAAAAAGAAATAAAGAAAGGATAATTTTGAAAGAAATAACTTTTTTTTTTCTTTTTTCAACCAGTTGATATGATTAAAATATAACTGCTCTTTTTATTTTAGGAAGGAAGTACCGTAATAGGACAATACTTATATTGTGGACTAGGGATTACGTAACAAGATGAACCTCTAATACATGTTAATTTTTAGTATACTACAAGTTCATTTTGACTTGTAATACACTATATAATGAAATTTGTATCAAAAATCAAAATATAATGAATATATTAAAAATGAACATATATCAGAGTTCAGCTTACAATATGGATCATGGAGTGCATGATATAATTTGTCATAATCAATTATTATATCATGGATCATGATCCATATTGCAAGTTAAACCACTAACATACAAATTCATTTTTAAGTATATTAAAAATTTATTTTTCGATGTACTACCTAAAAATGAACATAATATTCAGTATACTAAAAATAAACATTTATCAGTAGTCAATCATGTAATGTAGACCATAGTTTACAATATATTTTTTTTTTTTTTTGAAAAGACCATAGTTTACAATATAATTTGTCATATAAAACAATCTACGTTTACGTTTTAAAGTATACTAAAATAAACATGTATCATGGTCCATTTTATAAGAAGGATCATGGGTGCACAATATAATTTGTTCTTTTATATATATATATGAAAGAAGGCCTTGAGCTTTATATAGGAGTCTAAATTTTATCGTGTACATTTTGGGCCTCACCCATTTGGTATTCAATTGGGCCCATGGCTCAGATGCTCAAGTCTTCACAAACTATCTCACTTCTTGAGAATTGAGATCCCTACTGTGGTACATCAATCGTTATATCCTACACTACGGCGCACATAGCACTGTGCGCCGCGCGCCTCCCAAAATGACGTCGTTTTGGAGTAGTGTTGGGAGGCGCGATAAGAAGTTGCTGATATTATGTGTATTTGTTCACAACGTTATGTGTATTTGTTCACAACGTTATGTGTATTGGTTCATACAGTTATGTGTATTTTTTATACAATTATGTACATTCTTTTTATACAATTATGTACATCCGAATCAGAAAATTTGTGTGTATTATGTTAAGAGTTGATGTGTATTATGTTTATTATGTATTATGTTAGATTATGTGTATTATCTTTTAAAAAGAGTATGTATATTTTGTTATATAATTATGTACATTCATGTATAACATTATGTGTATTCTAGTATAACATTATGTACATTCTTGAACAGCGGGTTTTTTTTTAAAGAAAAAACTACTGCCATTCACTGGGGCGGGAAATTTCAAAAAAAAAAATAATTAAAACGACGTCGTTTTGCATCTGGGCGCATAGTGCAATGCGCGCCGTGATGTAGGATATAAATTGCCGTGGTACATGTCATGGGATTTAAGTGCAAATGCATTCACAACAAAATAAATTTGGGCCTTGGTATATTAGGACTGCAAAAATATCCCATCATAAGCCCATTCCCTTGTGGACCAATCATTATTGTGCGAACTATGAGCTGTGTGGACCATACTATCAAATAATGTATTTTTAGTATATTAAAAATATACATTGTATTCAAAGCAAATATTATTTGAGTACTGAAAGTATATTATTTTGAGTATTGTACATTCAATACACAATAATATACTTTTAATATATTAAAAATGTACTTTTTATTATGGTTCACACAACACATCAATAATTTGCCTTATAGACCACTGGCTAATGACTATGGATTTCATCATGATCATTGGACTCCCACAAGGGCTCATCATCATTATCATATAAAAAGGGGCACAATTGATGAATGCAGTAAAAAAGGGTGGTTTGCTTCCAAACACAGGCTTTCTAGATGGAGAATTTGTCAAAGGACAGACAGACCGACCCACTACAAACTCCTAAAATTGACCAAAAAAGTCCTAAAACTTATCCAACATTTGCATGGTGAAGATTTAACATAGCTCGCCAATCCCGTCAAGTTAATCACGATTGACTTAACTATCATTTGACTCCTAACAGGAACGGTCTATTTTTTTTTTTTTTTGTTTGAGTAATAATTTAGGCTACTTTGAGTTGGTCAGCTATAAATAACTTAACTTAAGTTGGGTCATTCAAAAAGATTTAACATACATAGTTGGTAAACACGATACGAAGCTGAGCAGGAAAATAAATAAGGAGTTGGTGTTTGGTGGGATGAGATTATTAATTTATGACTTGACATGGAACATGAATGCAAGGCAAAATCCCATGTTTCTTACATTGTACTAGGAAAAAGATTGAATCTGTGTTTGAATGAATTCACAAGTTGCAGTAGAAATTTTCTGTTCAAGAATCATAAATCCCTTTGCAGATGATACAATGCCCAGAAAAAATACTACCTATAATACTACCCTCCTCAATTCTGATTCTCCCACTTTCCCTATTCCACAGATGCACCCCATAACTCTCCCCCCTTAGCTGAACCAGCTTGGCTTCTATCCACCTTCCATGCTTTCTGTCCCTGGGATGCCTAAAAAACCCTGCAATTCGAGTCCAATCTGCAGGGTAAAACGCCATTGGAGGCAACACAGTGAAGTTGAAAGAAGCAGAAGAAGGGACTTTCTTCACCACTCTTGAAACCAAGTATGGTCCATTGTGCCCCCACTTGTTCCCATCAAATTTTGCAGCAAATTCCTCCAAGAACTTGAGGAGCAGTGGATGCCCTTTGTCGAAAACCAGCACTGCATTGTTCAGTCTTGACCAGTTCCCAGAGAGGTTAATGCTTTGTGCTCCAATGGAGTTTCTTAACCCAGAGAAGTCCTTCATGACTATGAAGTCTGTGTCAAGATATACCCCTCCATATTTGTACAGAACAGCTAGCCTGATCAGGTTTGATAGGTTCTGGGCTAAGGGTATTTCACCAGGGTCTTTTTTCCCACTTCTCAGATCATCATACCAATCTTCTGCAGGGGTTTTCTTGAACAGAAATGGCAAATCAGGCTTTACTGCAACAACCCCAAACCCAGTTAGAGGCTCCAGAAGTCTTTTTCCATATTCTGAATCCAAAGTCTGGGAAAGTATGATTAAGCACCCATCTTTATGAACTTTGAACAGACTCTCTAGTGACAGAAACTCCCTTCTTCCAAACGAATTTGCAGAGGCAATCCATGTCATAAAGAACTTAACTTTACACTTTCTGCTCCTGTAAAACTCCCTAACCCTCCCATCAAATCTTCTTGACACTTCATCTGACTTGAAAATCCCAATCTCTGGGAACTTTCTCTTCAACCATTCTGTTCTTTCTTCTGCTGTGAGATTGAAAGGGGGCACCAGGCTGGCGCCATCTTCATGAACGTGAACTTGTTCGATAACATCTTCCTTGATCGAATTCAGCGGCTTCAATCTGGGATGCTTTTGGCTGCGGAAAGGTGTGGAACGGATTGAGGAGCGATTTATGAAGGCATTATCAGAGAAGATGATAACAAAAACAATGGCTGCAAGAATGGTAGTGGAGAAGATGTGGAACTTTGTGCGGTTGATTCTAAAGCTGTGAAACATCTTCATTGAAATTCTAGCGCAAAAAAACATATTCTTGGAAACATGGTAGCAATTCCCAGAAGATGTAAGACAAGAACATATGATAGCGATGAGAAATGTTGACTTTGTAGGATGGGAGTTTTGGTAAAGCGCTTTTGAGGCCAACTTTGGCTGCTGATTTTTCTTTTCCTAATTTATTTTCTGCTAATTCTTAACATCAACTCTTTATTAGGGGGATTTTGCATATATTTTAAGAAAAAGTTGATATTTTTTAAGAGATTTTGTCAGAATTTTGGAGATTTTTGAAGGTTTTTTCAGTTTTTGATTTTATTTTTTATTTTTCCTTTTCACCCATTTCGCTTTTCTAATCACATTTGTAAAATCTTCTCAAAATCCTACCACTATTGAAGATGCTATTATGATTGAACAGAAATGCAGTATATACGTACACGTTGCCTACCCTACATGAGTAATTGCCATCATTCTTTTAGTTTTCTTTTTGTTTTTTTTTTAAAAAAAAAAATTTTACCATAAGCTTAGATTCGAATCGATCCATTATAGCATGAGTAATAAAATTTTGTGCTGTTACATTTGAGTAATAAAATTTTGTCTTGTCACAATGTAACAGCTCGAACCTATGACTTTTTATTTGGAAGAGTCACTTCATGTCACTAAATCATAAAATTATTGATATATATGATATTAGTTAATTTAACGCCTAATTTTAGACGTACGGAGTAATTTATATAATTTAATAATAACTAATAAGTGAACGCTTATTTTAAATCTGTAAGATTGCAATGTATTTAATGTCTCAATTCAAATAATCAAATTAAATATCTATAATAATGTTCCAAACGGACCACACGGGATTTAATGTTGAAAACTTCAAAAGATGAGCATAACTTGTGCAGTTTCTAACTAAAATTGTTTATATGTGAAGTTACTTGAAGGTTTCTTTTTACGACCACAACTATTTTTCTTGGTCAACTTTTTAATATTTATATATAAACTTCTTTTTTTTTTTTTTTTTTTTTTTTTGCAATTTAGGTTTAATTTATAGAGGGACCCAAAGAAATCAAGAAATTGTGCTTATATATTTCTCTTGTGATAATTAGAGAGTATTGAATAATTTTTCATCAATCAAATTATTGAGAAATATTCCTAAGAAATGTATTTGATGAGAATAACTCTGAATGAGGGGTGTTATCCTAGAAAATAAGAATTAAATATTTATTGATCCAAATTTTATTAAGTCAAAAATTATACCTTATGTAAAAATAATTTGTTTACATTTTAAATTTTTAAGAAAGTTTGACCAATCCTAATTACCGAATATCCTCTTAGAATCATATATATTTCTTTCTTTATATATCTAAATAAAAAAGTATGTTTCGTGTTGGTTGGGGGAATAGAACAATTGACTATTCTACAATAATTAGAGTATTTTATGGCAAATTATGCCCTGGACCCGTGTCAAACGACGTCGTTTTTCAAAAAAAAACGCGTCATTTAGTTTTAAAAAAAAATATTCGCGCGCGTTTTGCTGTTAACGGCGTTAACAGCGTTATTTTTTTTGGATTATGAATGTACAGTTATGCCGTTATGAATGTACAGTTATGCCATTATGAATATACAGTTATGCAATTATGAAATTATGAACACAGAGCTCTAACATTATGAACTTACAATTATGAACATATATAGTGATAAAATTATGACCATAGAGCTTTAAAATTGTGAATATAGAGCTTCGAAGATTATGAATGTACAGTTATGGAGTTATGAATGTACAGTTATAGAGTTATGAATGTACAGTTATGGAGTTATGAATCTACAGTTATGAGATTATGAATCTACAGTATGGAATTATGAATGTACAGTTATTGATCAAATTATGAACAAAGAGCTCTAACATTATGAACTTACAATTATAAACATATAGTGATAAAATTATGAACATAGAGCTCTAAAATTGTGAACATAGAGCTTCGAAAATTATGAATGTACAATTATGGAGTTATGAATGTACAGTTATGGAGTTATGAATGTACAATTATGGAGTTATGAATGTACAATTATAGAGTTATGAACGTACAATTATGGAGTTATGAATGTACAGTTATTAACATATAGTAATACAATTATAAACATATATACCTATAACGAAGCGGTCTGAAATTTAAAAAAAAAAAAAAAAAAAAAAAAAAGTAGGAGTTAACAGTGTCCAGCAAGCATGCTGGACACGGGTCCAACGCATAACGATTGGTATTTTATCTCTCACAGCTGCCCCGCACTTTGAAGTCCTGTGCATGTTAAATTTCCCTCTCAATAATGGCTTTATATAACACCATTATGACAAATTCTTTGGGTATCGACTTCCTATTCAGATACTTTATATTATGGTATTTTTTACTAAAAAAAAAAAAAAAAAAAAAAAAGAAAAAGAAAGGAGGAGGATATTTTGATTATATCAAATAATTTTTAAAAATAATTTCTTTTAAAATTATCCACCAATTATTAGGAGTGTCAATGCAGGCCGGACTGATTTATTGCAGACTTTTTATTCACATGCTTTTGTGGGCGGCCGCGAAGTTCGTGGGCTAGGATTATGCAACCCTAACCCGCCTCAGTGGGCTCACAGGCCCCGCAGGTCAGTCCATGGACCAACCTCCAATTTTTGTTATTTTTTTAAAATTATGTTATTATTCTATATTCTAATAATTTAACATAAATAATATTGAATTAAAATATTTTAATTATTTTATGTTTTTAATGTTTAGAATATATATATATATATATATATATATATATATATATATATATATATATATATATATATACTAGTTTTTTACGCACATTGCGCGATTGGGATAATGCCCAATATATTTTTTTTAAATAAGTACTTTAAAGTATATTAAGGCAAAATTATATTGGATTGTTCATGCATAGATAATTGAATATTAAATTTAAATATTTAAATAGGCAATTCTAAGTTTACAAATGCAAGTTAATATAGTCAAGATTGATTATAATTGTCAATAAAATAATGAATTAATACCCAAAATCGTCCTCGACTATCGTGGTTTTTCTCAATTTCGTCCTAAACGACTTTGGTGACCTAACATCGTCCCAGACTTTTGTGTTTCGCTCAATTTAGTCCCAGACTTTTATGTTTTTGCTCAATTTAGTCCCTCATTTGTTATTCTGTTCATTTTGTGTTATATAAATAGACAATTCAGTAATTTTAATATTGGCATCTCTTTACTCATAGACATGTGAACTGCGAAGTCCCTTTTTTTTTACGAATTACTCCAAGAATTACTCCTAAAACTGCGAATATAAAATTTGATTTGCAGGTCCGGGAGTAATTCTGGGTGTAATTCGTACAAGAAAGAGAAATTTCGCACTTCACAAGTTGAAAGTAAAGAGAGATCAATATTGACATTATTGAATTGTCCCTTTATTTAACACCAATTTGACGGAATAACAAATGGAGGACTAAATTGAGCGAAACACAAAAGTCTGGGACGATATTAGGTCACCAAAGTCGTTTAGGACGAAATTGAGAAAAACCACTATAGTCGAGGACGATTTTGGGTATTAACTCATAAAATAATTGTATAGGTATACTTGAAACCAAATACGGGACATAAGGGAGAGCAAATAAAAATTAGGGCATAAAATATTAAATATATACTAATATTGAATAGCTAACTGCTGATTGCCAAACAAGGACATTGCGAGATATTTTCTCACTTCAATTTGCTATGTGATTTGAATACTCTTTTTCTCAATAAATTCCCAAATAGTTAATATGATTGGCTTAATTTTTTTAATTTTTTTTAAAATTATTATTATTATTATTATTATTATTATTATTATTATTATTATTATTATTATTATTATTATTATTATTATTATTATTATTATTATGTATACCCTTAGGTCATTTTACATGTTAATATAAACAGTTTTTTTTTTCAAATATCTTTTTACCAACCGTTGATATAATTCGCTGGTCAAATTCGCTAATATAATCTGCTAACGCTAATCGCTAACTGCTGATTGTCAAACAAGGACATTGCGAGGTAGTTCTCATTTCAAATTGTTGTGTGATTTGAATATTCTCTTTGTCAACAAATCACTCAAGTAGTTAATATGATTGACTTTATTAATTATATTTTTTAAATTTTTTCATGGTATTAATAAAATACTTGGTAAATAAATATATAGCATTATTTTGTATATAACTTTGATATTTAATTAAAAAATAGTGCACAAAAAAGATAATAGACAATGTAGTTAATATAATCAATTGATGAATTTGAATGTATAGAATTTTTTACATTGGAGAAATATAAAGACAATATAACTAATAAAATTATTTCTCTTAATTAATTTATTGATAATGTGAATAATTTTTTTTAATAAAGGCATTGTAGGGACAATGTAGCAAATATAATCAATTGATGAATTTGAATGTAAAGAATTTTTATATTGGAGAAAAATAAATACAATATAACTAATGGAATTATTTCTCTTATTTAATTTATTGATAATAATAATTTGTTTTGAATAAAGACATTGTAGACACATAATTCTAAATTAAAGAAATGCATATGTATTATTTTTTGTTATAGCTACTAAATTATTATTTATAATTTAATAAGAGTAAAATAGAGTACTAATTATGCCAACTTTGATAGGGATGAGGTTCGAACCTAAGACCTTTCTTATCGAAATCAATGAGTAAGTTAACGGTGAACTAACAGAAATTAACAGAAAAGATAATATTTAACGGAAAAGTTAACGGAAAATCATATTCATTAAGGATAAATTAAGAAATTTTAAGAAAAAAAATAAAATCTGATCAATCTAAGCCATTCATTTGATTAAAAAACATGACTGCCATTTTTTCTACCCATTATAGGCCTAACTCTCTTGGGCTCTTATTAGTATAGTAGATATATATATATTGTTTTTTTCTCTTGAGAAGGCCACGTAACCCGACAACATGCGCGGGCCAAAATTTTTAGGTCCTAACTTGTCCAACTGTAGGACGGTTTAGAATTGGTCCGTGGACTTGATCCACCTTGATACCTCTACCAACTATGCTTTTTGTGTAATAAAATCGACATATAAAATATCAAAGTCTTCCCTTAATATTATATATGTCC